TACTTACATCATCATACAGCCATCCATATTTGTTGTCTGGCCACGGTCTTGGCATGACGATGATTCTGTAGAACTCACCCTCATGGGACGCTGTTTTTGATGTGGGAACGTCCTTATGCTTCTCTAGGTGTTCCTTAAGTTTATCAAATTTTTTTGGATCAACCGGTGCTAAAGAATCATATATTACTGGTGAAGGTTCAAAATTTTTCCTCATGCACGTCGTTCCATTGTCTCCAATAAGAGGAAAGACTGGTGCTGAAGGAGCATTATCAGCAAACATTGCACACCCAGTCTTAGATAACTGAACATTTTTCACCCAATATAGATTAATTCTTTCGGATCTGATCCTATCCTCTTCCTCCACATCAGACTCCGGAAGCACTTCATCTTGTGATGCGAAAATTCGTCAGTAATATCCCTAAGCTCACTGTCGGCTTGAGGTACAGCTACTGTTATTAATTAAACCGCGGTGCGTCACCCTTTTTGGGACCTCTTTCTTTAACTCAGCTTTCTCAACCTTCTTTAACTCAGCCTTCTCTTTCTTCTTTAACTCAGCCGCCTTCTTTTCCTCAGCCTTCCGTTGCCTTAACTCAGCCGCTTTTTTTCTCCTTAACTCAGCCGCCTCTTTCCTACTTAACTCAGCTGTTTCGTTCTTCTTAGGAGACGCCTCCTTCTTTCCTAACTCAGACGTTTCTTTTTTTTCTTCGATAACTCAACCGCCTCGTTCTTCTTAAGAGACGCCTTCTTCTTTGCTAACTCAGCCGCCTCGTTTCTCTTAAGAGCCGCTTCCTTCTTTGCTAACTCAGCCTCCTCTTTGTCCTTCTCTTTAACCTCATCTCCTTTTAGTTTTAACCTTACCATGTTTCCGCGTCCTAAGCCTGAGTCCTTTGCAGGAGAAATACCAACGAAATACACATCGTCAACCAAATTCTTTTCCACGGCCTTAGCAGGTGTACTATTGACAGAGGCCTTAGCAGCTGGACTACTAACAGAGGCCTTAGCATGTGGACAATTGACTGAGTGCTGCGGAAAAGACTTCGGCGGTGGCAGTGGCAGTGGTGGTGATGGTGATGGCAACGGTAAAGATTGTTCGGGAACTTTAGAGAAGTGCTCTTCCACTGCAACTCTGACTAAATCAGCAATGTTCGTATCTCTGGACTCGATATCTCTGGACTCGATTCTGGATAACCGTGCTTCGAAGTTTTCGAATCTGTTATCGTAGCTGTCTATTTTGAAGCATTTCTATCCAGAGTATACATTAATCTCAACATTATCGGATTGTTCCCAATATCATCCGTATCTTCCTTCTCGCAAGCACCCTTTCCCTCCACAACAGCTTCATCTTCTTGGAAGCTGCTCACTTTCTTTTGCTTCTTAATGGGTGGCTCAGTCTTTGACGAAACACCAGCCTTTTTTTGTTTGCGTTTCATCTGTGTTCCCCAGAAACCTCTAACAAACCGACATGTTTGCGGGTCATCGGCTTCATCCGGCCACAGAGGAAACATCTCTTTTACGGAGTCCTTCAGAACCATTTTTCTCACGCGCACCTACAAAACCAGTCACCAAATACATAATAACTCAGCCATCAAAGTACTAATCACTCAGCCGTTAAAACTAATAACTCAGCAATAAAATAACTAATAACTAAGCCACAAAGTACCAAAAACCTAGCCACCATATAAACACTATCTCAGCCATCTTGATAACTAATACCAAAAAACTCAGCCACTATATACATACTAACTCAGCCATCAAATACCAAAAAACCCAGCCTTACCTTGCCATGTTCTCAAATCTCCTCAGTAATGACAGTATCAAAACTTGAACATGTACGCTTTCCACCCCATCGAAAAAGTAGAACTTCTTGTTCATTCACCACTCTCCCAAAACGCTCTCCAAAACAAGTGATAGATTCATACGCCCATACCAATAACACGTCCTTCAGGCCGCTTATGGTGTATGTCCTTCCTTGTGGATTCAACATCTTCATAGAGTCAATAAGAACTTCATATGCAGTCTGACCCCATGGATACGTCATCATGGCTTCATCGTCAAATACACTTTTTGAACTTTCAAACGGTATCCTAGAATTATGATGCAAAGCATAAAGTCCCATGGCTTGAAGAAGTAAGACCAAGATTATCGCGGTCCAAAACATTGGTCCTTAGGCTTTTTGGGCCAGAAAATAAATCGGAAATGGTGATAATAATCCGGGACGGGTCTTAACTAAGGTCGATTTTGGCTGGTCCTTCCTTGCCACATGTCGAGTGGAGATGAAGCCGAGAAGTCGTGTAGGGGAAAGACGACTTTCCCTTCCCAAATCGATTTCACCTTCTCTGGTTCTCTCTTGACGGCGACACAAGTGGAGATAGAATACACCGACGATTTCATTAGGAATCTCTGCGGAATCTCTTCGAAAACTCTCCCGGATCTCTCTAGAATCCCTCATGAGTTTGTCTCCAACCTTATTCTCCGACGATTTCAATCTAAAAGGTATGTGTTTCTCTTTCGTTGTCAAATCCTTAGGATGTCAAAATCGATCTAGTTCCTCCCCATGCTGGTTTTGAAGATTATTTCTTGTGATGATTTGTTCGGTAGATTAGATTCACTTTCTCGATCTAGTTCTTCTGAGTCGGGTTTTGTAGATACTTTTTGTGATGATAAGTTGGGTTGATTAAGTTCAGTTTATCGATCTAGTTCCTCTGCATCTTAGTTTCAATAAAAACTCACCGTCTTCTTTTGATTAATTAAAAAAATTTCTTCTGTTTCAGGAGGATCAGGAGCAATGTCTTCTTTCTCATTTGAGTACTGTTTTTTGGCTGAGGTGACGGCTTCGAACCTAAAAGAAGACAAACTTGTAAGTAGTTAGGCGTTTTCTTTCTCTATTTCAAATCTAAAAGAAGACTAACTTTTGATTTGTTATGTGTTTGCAGCATCTTCCTGTGGAAACTACGCGTTGTACTGCTCTGAACAAATAATGCCAAGAGGTGATACTAGTGAACAAGGAGGGAAACTTAGGACTGAGAATTTGCTATTCAGCGAATCAGGGAGCATGTATTACATCAGAGGAGGGTGGACGAAGTTCTGTCATGATAACAGATGCGACATAGGAGACTTATTTGTCTTCAATGTGGTTGGAGATGGGATAACTGCTCCACTGATGTGTGTATGTCCGGAAAGAAAAGAGTGCAGGGAAATACTGAGGGAACATTTGAGCAGAAAGAGTGGTGAATTGTGTCTCGGGTAGTTTGGTGGTTGCTTGTTTGCATGTTGGTTGTGTGTTGTCGCTTTGCTCTTCTTCTAATGCTATGTTATGACTTAGCTTGTATTAAATGTCCAACAAATGACCATGTTCTAACAGCCCTAACCATTTACGCTTATCAAAAAGTCGATCAATAAAAAGGAATCATTTAGAAAGCACTCTGTTATCCCCTATATATTAATCTTCGAGCATTACAACATTTAAATGTAGTCATGTGTCATCAATAGGATCACTCTTAGAATCCTTAGAAAAATATGTTAGTCCATCTAAATATAAAGTATATTTTTTTTTATTAAATTAACTATTAAAATGATTTGTATTGCATAAAGAACATTCTTTATTATTTCTTTAAGTAAAAACTACGAAATTACCTAATATGATTAACATATATATGAAAATTAATGATTTTAAATAATAAAGATTTCATAATAGTTTTTGTATACTCCATCATTTTTTTAATTTATATTATTAAAAAAATAAACAATCACATTAAACATATAATAAAAATCTATATTTTTTTCTTACAGGTTATATTTTAAATTTTTTAAAACGGCTATATATTACTAAATCTATTAAAAATCTTACAATGAAAAATTTTGTGAATAAATTTTTTATGTCTTTGTTACAAAAATATAAAAATCTCATATTTATTAATCCTATAGCATTACAACATGTTTTCGTAGCCATGTGTCATCAGCAGGATAATTCTCAAAATCCTTATAAAAATACGTTTGGTCCATATATAATTATATATTATACTTTGTATTAAACTGACTATCAAATTAGTTATTAGTGCACAAAAAAATATTTTTTTTCCTTAAATAAACCTACGGAATTGCCAAATATAATTAGCATATATATGACAATTAATGATTATGAATTATATACAAAATAAAGTAAATTAAATGGTTTTTTTATTTATTTAACGAAAACATGATTATAAATTAATAAAAGCTATTAGTTTTGATTTATGTGCTTACCCTAATGTATATATTTTTATGTGTACAAATTAATTTTTATAATATGTAGTTTCCAATATGTTATTTGATCCTGCCAATCCGCGGATTACACTTCTTCAAATCGAAGTTATTTTTAATACTGGAAGCACTATATATATATATATTATTTCATTCAAATTACATAATTTAGTCTTGATATTTATTTTTAAAATTTTTTTAATGAAATAGCATGACAAGTCCAGTCACCTCCTTTTGAGTTTGTTCGAAGAATGAGAGATTTGATCATTCGTCTAATATTTATTTTCCATAATACCCAATGTTGCTATTATAATTTATCCGAACAAAACTTATGATCTTACTACTTTGGGATTTGATTATAATCTGAACCGAAACCGAAATCCGACCTAGGTCTGAAGATATCTGAAATTAATATAATCTGTTAATATTTTTTTATATATCAACGTAATTTAGATATTTTATTGTATTCGAAAGATTGTTGTAGTTTGTTTTATTTTTTAGTTTGAAAATTATTTAGTTATATTAGATAGTTTAACTAATTCTACAAATAATTTAAATATTTTGACATTTTTTTGTCAATTGAGGTTCCAAAAATATTTTTTCGGGATGATTTGAGATTTTGGTTATAATCCGATCCAAACTGAATCCGGAAGGAATCGAACCAAAACCAATCCAATAATTAGTAAAATCTAAATGAGTCTGAAAATCAATCAAAGCAAAACTGACAGATCCTCAAATACCAAGACATATGATATATTTAATAGACCAACATTTTTATTTGTTATTTTACAATTGATAAAAAATATAATATTACAAAATGTAAAAACCGAACAAACATTAATATAAAAAACTCACTCTGCGTATGACCCAGATATCATCTAGTTCTATGTTATTTTACAATCTGAGGAAGTTCCCTTCAAAAGTAGACAACGTAGATAATTACGCCTAACATCGTTAGCTAGCTGTACTTTCAAGATTTCGAAAAGATGTGTTCTTCGAAAAATATTGTTTTAATGATTCTTACTTTTTTATAAAATAATTATTGCTTTCTGCAAATTTAAACGTTACAGGAAAAATAAAAGTAACAGAAGAGAGATGGGTTGAAGATGGTGGTATAATACATTGGTACCTTGATGAAATCATGAACACTTCCTGGAACTGCCACTGTTGTTATTATTGATGTCTTCGATCATCATTCCTTTTAAGCTCTTCGCCAACCAAATAGCAGTTTCTCTAGGCGAAACTTTGTTTTTCCCAAACGGCTGCAACACGATGGCTAGCTCTTCCAGTCTACTCTGTTCCAGCAAATCCGCAGATAGTTCCAAGAGGCCTTCAAGCGCCTCTGCTCTTTGTCTGAAGGACTTGATGTCCAACGTCTCTTTCACAGATGGAACCGGAGTTGTTTCCTCATCAGGCATAAATGAGTTTGGTCTTGTCTCAGCTGGTGAAAAATCAGAGTATGAGTTAAAGCTCTTGGTTTCTGAATAGCTAGTGATAGAGTCTGGTTCTTCAGGACGTGTCTCAGTTCTTGATTCAGGAGGCTCTGAGTTGGTCGATCTCGTGGGGGTTGACTCAGAGGGAGTGGCTACTTTCCTCACTTCAAGTTCATCTCTAACAACGTTTATGAGTTTACCAACGTCAACGTTCTGGACACCGACTTCAACACTTTCCATGACCGGCTGGTCACTCCCTACTCGGAAACTGCTGTGCCGGATTACATGAATGATATCATCAACCACCGAAGGATTGTTGCTCTTCTCAAGAGCCAAGTTCTGAGAGACGACGCTGGTGGTTTTATTATCCGACTGTGAAGGCACTGGTCCTGAGGAGACAAATTCTTTGACTGTGAATTTATCATCACCTGACGCGTTTGGCTCGTAGCTTTGTAATGCTACAGGGCTACCATTCTCTTTAGACGCAGGAAGAGAGCTTCCTTCTGGCTGGTGATGAGAAATGTTGTTTTGAACATCAGGAACAGGAACAGTGTCAGGAATTTCAGCAAGCCGCATACTGGTGCTGTGTTCGTCTCTGTGGATCATCATATCTGATGAGATTTCTGGAAACAAAGAAGAGTATCCACTATGACATGATCTTTTGTGGTCATCAGGAGTTGTCTGTTCTGACATGTCGACATATGGGGTGGAAGCATCATCACAGAGGTCAAATGCCTGCATGGACAACGAAGACGAGATAGAGTTGCTGCTTTCACTCTGCACCCCTTTGGAAGATCCGACAGAGATTCTCTTTGGCTCCGGCGCGTTCACAGGAGACGTTTGGACACGAGGTTGATGAGCATTATTTTCGTGCTCTGACGGCTGACATGGATATAGCTTCATGGTTTCTTTAGCCACCATAATAGGAATATCTGCTCCTAATTGTGTTGAGGGCGTTCTTATTGGTAAAGTAGGAGGTGTTCTTTGTCTTCGCTTAGCTGACATTGCCTCTTCGGGATCGTGTTTTGCAGAAGGAGCAAGGGGAATTCTGTCGTTTGTACGCTTAAGCTTTGAAGAAGGGTCGATCACAGGCATCTGCAAGATCAATTTTTATCATATGATTATTGGAGAGAGAGAGAGAGAGAGAGAGAGAGAGAGAGTACTTGATGATGCTTCCGCGGTATTGATCCAGGAGGAGTCCTTGCAGATTCAGAGGCTAGCTTTGAGGGTGTACTTGAGTTACTCTTGGAGCTATGAGCAATGTCACCGAGTTTGGGAATCTTTGAAGGAGTTTCAGTATTGTTCTTCTGTGTAGGAACCGCAGATGTTCTCCCTCGATTAACTCTCATAGGTGAACCATTTTCTCTACCTTTCTCTTCTTTCAAAACCATCATGATGTTTCTAATAGTTTTTGGGTGCCTTGCTTGAATAGCGTCTGGTCTCTGGTCACCCTGTGAGGGCTTTAAAATGCCATGACTATCTGTTTTCGTTGCTGAAACACACTGGACATTTTCATTTTCAACTGGTTGTTGTTGCTGCATATGGTCGAGAATGTCTTGTTCATCCACAGAAACTGAATCGCTCTCAGTGACTTTATTACCATTGCTTGCAACCACATGTCGGTTGTTTTTTTCAATCACGTAGAAGTTATCTCTTTCACTGGAGCTATTGCTGTTCTGGCTTTCAGCCATACTCCTCCGGCCCTCACGAGAATTGAGAGGCTTTTCTGGAGTTATATACGCTGCGGAAATGGCTGGACGATACTGCTCAACATATGGCTGCAAATACGGATGCTTCAAGATCTCCGAGGCCTGAACAAAAAAAATGAAGAAAAATATCTTAATTTCTTTCAGGAAAAGTGAAGGAGCCCCCTTAAGAAGACAGCTACAGGTCCTAGAAAGAAAACATACGCTTGGCCGATACTCTGGGTTCTTCCTTAGCATCCCCTTGATGAGTGCTTTTCTGCAATATCAAAAAGATTTTTAAACTTAATCTCATAGCCTAGGGAAAAGTGTTAAATCAAGAGAGCTAGAAGAAAAGATTAAAGCTAGAGAAAATGAATCTTACAAAGATGGGGAATAGCATGAAGGCAACGGACCAATTGAGGAGCGATTAACCTTGCTTATAAGCCCTGCCATATCCTGATAACATAAAAATCAAATGCAATAAGGTCCTGCGCAGAGATATAGTGAAGAGGAACCAGTTACCCATTAATTTCAGTAACACACAGACAAGTCTAAATATAGCTCCTTAACATTTTCTTCTCTAACAGAGATATAACCTCCTCTAACTCAGCTACCCACTAAACCAGGAAATCATTAAAGAACGGAAACAAATACATACAACTACAGAGGCGAAACATTTAGATTATCCAAGTGAAATGCATAACTTACAAAAGCTTTGAAAGCAGGCCGAAATGCAGCCATCTCATATATGCAACAGCCTGTTCAACAGCATACAATCTTATCTCAGCTTCAGCCACAATAACAAGATTCTTAAGCTTTAAAAAGATAGAATTGTACATACCTAGGGACCAGATATCTGATTTAAAACCATAAGGGATATCAGCAAGCAGTTCCGGGCACATGTAGTTTGGAGTTCCAACGACCTACATATAAAATGTTAATCCATGATTCATAAAGACCAACACACTAGTATCAATATATATCTTCAATGTATAAAATTGGTTAGCATAACTCATGTCAAATGCGTGGATATGGTAATGTGCGATAAATACACAAAATGTATGCAAAAGTTACAGCGAAAATTATAGACTTTAAGACATACCGAGGAAGTTAAGTCATCCGCCTTCAAAGTTTTGGCCAGACCAAAGTCTCCTGTATATACAACACAAGGTAAACACATATGTTTTAAGAATACCACTACAGGTTAAACTGAGTGGAGCATAAATCTAAGCTTACCAAGGCGAACGTCATCTTTTGTAAGGAAAATGTTGGAACACTGGAAAGAGCATGCGTCACAAAAATAAGTCTATCAGAAAAGTAAGCATGAATAAATGATTCAGACAACTAGCATTTTTTTTTTTTTTTTACCTTTAGATCACGATGTAGAACATAGTTAGAATGGAGATACTCAACAGCTAATAACAATTGAGTAAACCACTTGCAGAGCTTCTGCAAACGAATAAAAAGAATATCACCATAGGGTACTAATCTATATCATCACTAAATCATTAAATCATGTTCGAGGTGGAAATTAAGCGAGTACCTCCTCAGGAAAGTAGACACCGTTTGACTTTTTCATCAACTCGGCCCTGCCAAAAACATTACAGCAACTCTAATTGACTTGTGTGAACTAAATAACAAAAAGGGAAATCCTTAACTAGAAAATCTTTTGAAGAAAGTAGACTCACATGTCTCCTCCTTCACAGTATCCAGTGACAATACAAACATAGCAACCCTGCATTTTCAGAGCAAACTCGTATTAAAAAAATTAAAAAAATAACTTATGTCTGTCATGAACTAACTTTCTCAACCCAAGCTTCTTTAAACTCCACGATGTATGGATGCTGAACCTTCGCAATTAACGCCATCTGTAAGAAAACAAATTCATTATTGAAGTCAGAAACAGATTCGAGGAAGAGGATCGTGCTTGAATCTGTAAAAAAAGATTGGTGTTCAAAATTACTTCTTGATGAGCAGATCTCCGGCAACGTTCCGTTTGGCGAGCTAATCTGATCTTCTTAAGAACATACCTAATTTCAAAACACAAGCTAAAGCGAAATGGAGAAAAGTCTATGAATACATTTAAAGAAACTCTGATTACTTCTTTCTCTCGGCCTTGTGATGAACTAGAATGGCGGCGCCAAACGCACCACGGCCGATCTGCTCCATGAGCTCGTACTGATCCATCCGCGACTCCATTGCTCAGCCAAATTAACACCGATACTTGAGCTTTTTCTTAACAAATGAGTTACTTGCTTCTCTTCAACGTAATAGTATAGTAGCAGCAACCTCACCTATACGCTTTGTCTTCCCAAAGATTCAAATTTCAGATCCAGACATTCTTGTGGATTCGAGACTTGACAAGAAAACATAAAATCGTTACAGATTAACATGCCAAAGGGATTTAACAATAAGAATAGTGAAGCTCTCTCTCTCTCTCTACTTGTCTTCCCAAGACTTGTCTTTTACTTTTGTGTTTTGAGTTCACTTCCACAGTACGAATCTAGACGGGTAAAAGTGACTCGGAGTTGGTTTCTGGATTTCTAAGATTTTAGGCGACTCGTTAAGTTATTTGTTTTTTTGGGAATTATGAATTTTATTACTTGTTATCAAAACCGTACAAAACTTTTTTTATTAGTATTTTTTTTTATATTCACCATGACCTTTTTTTCGTTATGAGAAAAAATATATTTACAAGAATATAACTATTTTTTGTGTCAGGCAAAAAATCGGCTCCACGTAAGAATACGGCATAAAACTCAGCCGTAAATACGATATAAACTTCGTTACAGCCGAGATATAGGTGTGTTGCGGCTGACTTAAATAATCTAGCTGACTTATGAGAAATCAGCTGAGTTATGAACATAACTCACCCAATCGTTACGGCTGACTTAAAAAAATCAGGTTGATTTATGTGATAACGGCTGAGTTACGGTCACATATTACGACTGACTTATACATCAGCGGACTGATTTCTGGAAAATCCGGCTGAGTTCTAGTTACCATACGGCTGAGTTAACTATCGCGGCTAGTTAATTGATCGTCGACAGGCCGAGTTATGAGATGTTTTTACAGCTGAGTTATATTTAATCAGTCGTAATAGAATGGAGTAACAGTAAACTCAGCTAATTTACGGCTGACTTATTAGCGAAAGATTAATTACTAGAATAGCATTCATTTGCCGGCTGGTTTATTTGACGATACAGCTGACTTATTGCGTTTCATCTTTGTTATGGCTGATTATTAACAAAAAATTAATTACTAAAATAGTATTCACGTTTTGACTGACTTACGGTGTACTTGGTGGCTGACTTATTGTGGCTGACTTAAATGTTCATTTGGTGGCTGAATTACAGATGTTCCATGTCATCATCCATGTCAGCTTTTATTTTCGATGTCATTACTAACTACAACAACGAAATTAGGGTTTATGTTACAGACGTCCGCTCTCTGTTCTTCACCTTCTTCTTTTTCTCTAAAATCTTATGGATCGAGTAATTATTGTTTCAGGTAACTGGATTAAGAAAAATAGATATGTATTCACACCCGACAGTAGAGGATGTATTGTTCTGCATGCAGATGAGAAAACAACACACGACGAATTCGCAAAGTCAGTACTCGATGATTACGGATTGAATGAGTCGAGTCATCAGATTCAACTAAGCTACCAGCTCTCGAATAAAGCTTTGAAAATAATGGCTCACGACAAGCCACCAGTTTACGTCTCCAATACTCGAAAAAGCCTAAGGAAAACCGAAAGATTCTCTGTGTAGAGATTACAGAGAACGAGGATGATAAGATCAGCCGGAAAGACGGAGCGGCAGAGAAGATTAATATATTATACAGTTTCAGCTCAGAAGCAGAAGTCTCAGAAGTTGAATCTAGATACGATGGTTTTAATTTGGAGGTGGAATAGAACGACAATGAGAATAACTTCCCTAATATCTTGGACGGAGAAAAACAGAAATATGTTGGAGAAGATGAAGAAGGCGAAGAAGACGGTGAATTTGATAGCCAATTTGATATGTTCGACGACTCAGATGGTGCGTCATCCGAATATGATAACTTTAGCTCATATGGTAAGTCTCCAGCACAAGGGGAAGATTCACCGACACTATCGCCTAAAAAGATATCTCAGAGGACTGAAACTTCTTACAATTGGACCGGATCTAAAGGGGATTCAGAGGTTCTAAGGTTGGAGATGTCTTCGCTAAACCTTGCTGTTGGTCAACGATACCAGAGTAAAGCTGAGCTGGAAAGACGACTGAAACTTCTTACAATGTGAGATCAATTTGATTTTGATGTGGAAGTATCCAATCCAGATTTACTCATTGTTAAATGTTGGGTTGGTGGATGTCTCTGGAGAGTTCGTGCTTCAACACAAGGGGGTTCCCCGACATTCTATGTTCGTATTTACGATTCGGAACATACATGTTCTGTAATTGAGCGCTCTAATCGGTTTCGACAAGCAACACCAGATATTTTAAGAGAATTGTACAGAAACTTTCTCGGCGACGTTGGTCCGGCCGTTCGACCTACGAGTGTGGTAATAGCTCTCAATAAATAGTTTGGTCTCAAAGTAATTGTTGTAGTAAAGCTGACTTATATCAACGTTACAGATAAGTTATATCTACATTTTGTGGCTGACTTATATTAACGTACGGCTGTGCTAGTTAAGTGATAGGCTAAGTTATATAAACTTCGAACGATGTGGCTGAGTTAGTTGAATTATCTGGCTGGTTTATTTAAACTTCAACGGTTTGGCTGAGTTAGTTAAGTATATGGGCTGGGTTATTTAAACGTTACGGCTATGTTATTTAAGTTATCCGACTAAGTTATTTATACGTTCAAGATGAGTTACTTAAGTGATTTGGCTGAGTTATTATTTGTATTCATTTGGGTAGATGGATTATTGGAAATCATATAAGACTCTGAAATTTGCAAGGGAAATCGATATGGGAACACCTGAGAGTGGTTTTGAAAACTTGCCTTCTTACTTATTCATGTTAAGAAGGACAAATCCTGATACAAAAACTCGTCTTCAAATCGATAAGTTTGGAAGATTCTTGTATAGGTTCCTTGTGTTTGGCGCGAGCATAAATGGGTTTCCTTTCATGCGCAAAGTTGTTGTTGTCAATGGTACATTTCTTAATGGCAAATACAAAGGGACGCTTCTAACAGCACTAGCTCAGGATGGTAACTTTCAGATTTTTCCAATCGCCTTCGGTGTAGTTGATACAGAAAATGACGATTCGTGGAACTGATTTTTTACGCAACTAAAAATTTTGATTCCTAATGAAAAAGGTCTTGCGTAATCTCAGATAGGCATAACTCGATTGGGAAGGCTATTCAAAATGTGTATCCGTTGGTCTCTCGAGGAATTTTCAGGTACCATTTATATAAGAACATTTTGGGACGGTACAAAGGGAAAGATGTATTTCGTCTTGTGAAGCGGTAAGATGTTTCAGGATGCTTGACTTTAATGCTACGTTCGAGGAGATTGAAGTTATTAATCCTGACCTTCATGGGTACCTCCAAAGAGCTGATGTCAAACAGTGGGCGCGTGTTCATTTCCCAGGCGAAAGGTACAATTTGATGACTACGAACATAGCAGAATCGATACGGGTTATGATGACCAGATGGTTTGCTGAACGGAGAGAGGATGCTGAATCGCAGTGAACCATGCTTACACGTGCTGTAGAGAAACTACTACTTGTAAGTCAGCCGTACTTATTAAATAAGTAAGTTGTATCATTTAATAAGTAAGCCTAAGTAGATATCATAACTCAGCCGTATTAATGATAAGTTAGCCTAAATAAATTTCATAAGTAAGCCGTATCAGTGATAAGTCAGCCTAAATAGATGTTATAAGTCAGTCTTATATTTTAATAAGTCAGCCTAAGTAGATTTCATAACTCAGTCTCTAATGTTTTTCATTGTTCATTTTTTATTTATAATAGGGTCGTGCTACTACCGCGAGACTGTACAAATGATCGATACTCATAACACTGAAGTTACATATGGTGAGTCTTTGCATATTGTTAACTTGGAAAGGAGAAAGTGCACATGGCGGCGTTTCCAGCTGAAGAGATTACCATGTTTGCATGCAATTGCAGCTGCAGAGTCCAGGAATGTTTGTCGTATATCCATGTGCAGTCCTTACTATACCAGCGCTTATTTGGTGAGCTCATACGCCAATTCAATCATGCCGGTTCATTCAGCGGTACCAGTTCCAGATAATGTGGTTAACCTAGCATGCTTTCCCCGTCTATTCGTCTTCAGCCAGGAAGGCCTAAGAAAAATAGGATGAAATCTACTTTAGAGGTTGCACTTGAAAACAAACGTCCTAGGAAAGAACACACATGTTCTCGTTGTAGATAGAGTGGACATAATGTGAAAACTTGTCCGATTTAAAAGTGTTGTATTGATATGTAGACTATATTGTATTACAGCTAAGTTATTGATTTTAATGTTTCTAATTATGGCTGAGTTTTTGACATGCTAGGACTGAGTTATAGTTCTACTACGGCTGAGTTAAAGTATACTGCGGCTGAGTTAAATAAAAGTGTAATTTTAATAAAAAGCTGAGTTAGAGTATACCGTGGCCTAGTTAAATAAAAGGTTGAGTTATTAATATACTATGGCTGAGTTAATTAAAATGCTAAGTTAAGTAAAAGGCTGAGTTAAATAAAAGGCTTAGTTAATAATTTACTGCGGCTGAGTTAATAATATTACAGCGGCTGAGTTACATAAACGCTACGGCTGACTTTCAAAATAACATAACTAAATACCAAACATAACCTTTCTAATTACATTTGAAAACCAAAGTTATCAGGTCCAAATTCTTCAAACATATCCACGAGAGCAAGCCAAACTCTGGTTAGCATCAAATCAGACTTCTGCCCACCAAGCGCCCAATTCCTCTTCAACACCCGCATTTGATGACGAAATATCGTTTTGGCTACACGATTAAAATAATCCCAAACTTCGTAATTATGCTTCGGATCCCAGGTATTATTTCGCTAAAAAATAAATAAAATAACATAACGAATATTAGAAACATAACAACAGTTAAATTTAATAGGGATACATAATGGATTCTTACAGCGAGTTCAAGAAACCAGCGTTCCTTAAAATGAGTGGGAATGACACGGTCATTAACCCACCCTTCTCGAAGAATTGGCGGGATCACAACCGATAAATCATGCAAGAATGTAAACCACTCTACGGTGGTTTTGGAAACATTTACACCAAAACCAGGGTTTAGAAAGGGTAGGTTATCCCGATCTGCTGAGCTTAGAGTAGCATTGACATTGTTCGCTAGCGATAGAGACCAACCAAGGACAACCGACATAACTGTTTCTATAATACGAGAGTAAAGCGACAAGAGAACTATATATAGAGAGGTATTAGAATGCCAAAGGTAAAGATTAGTGTTGGTGTCAAAATCGGTCACAACGGAATCAATGGCAAAAAGTCTCCGCATAA